CTTTCCATTTCATTTTCCATGTTTGGTACCAAAATAACTGATGATCATTGTTTAAAATACCTGAGGGAAACGTGTGTTCCAGCAAATAATATTATCTACACTATGAACATTCCAAACGAGCACCTCACAAGGCACTAATGAACTCAAGGATCAGGGCGTGCCATCCCAATACTCATTTGTCGATGTTTTGAACGTTTCGATTTTAGCCCAGTATTGTTTTAAGATAAAGGATCGTTGCATAAGAGTAGAAAATTTGATCTTCAAACCTCAAGGGAACTTGTAGAAGGCTCTATTTTGGTGGAAAAACCCGCTGACTCGTCCCGGGCTCAAATGTCCGGAATTTCTGGCCATGGTTTTTGTAAGGAGACCGTGTGCTGGTTATAATCTAGTGAGCAAATTATCCGGACGTTACAGAAATGCACATTCCTTAGGGAAAATGAATCCATGTTAGTTTGATTGACCGCTCCTTCTTTATGGACTTTAAATGTTTTGTTAATCACGTGAATGTAAAAACGGCCCTAAATCGAGAAGACTGCCCTGGCATCAGAGGAATAATATATCATTAATCCTTTGAAAGAACATAATGATAAAGATATGAAAGTTTGATTAGTCTAACATTTAATAGTCTCCTCGCAGCCGTGGTTAGTTTCGGTCACGCGTCACGCAATCTCTCCACACACAGAGGTTGCGCGACGCGTGACCGAAACTAAACACGGCTGCGAGGAGACTAAACATTTAAGGACCAGACGAGAAATTTCAGGTGTTTGAAATAGTTGAGTTTCGCGATCTCCCTTACGCTGTGTTAGGCACGCGCTATACGACGAACTTCACATGTGCCGAATACAACTCCTATTTTAGTCGACTTAATTGTTGATTAAATACGGCATTTGATTAAGACGCCGAATTTTAAGTGACGAATTGAATTCCCAATCCCTTCTCGGTCAAACAACTCACAATAAAACTGACTTTTTCATGTTTCTATTTTTTATCCCTTTATAACTACCGATGCTAACTCTTTTACTCATTTTCTTCTCCATCCTTTCGTCTCTTTATAATTCTTCTCCCCGCCTGTCCATTCCCATACACACTTTCAATTCACATGTTTCACTATTATCCTTCCTTTCTCAACATTATTCTCCATCTCTTTCCCACTCATTTATTCCACTCACCTCTTACTATCACCCCCACACACTTACAACATCCAGTCATCATATACATGCTACCTTCTATTTCATCACTATCATTTCCCTCCCCTTCTTCTGTCAGTTTCCTCGCACATTTTTGCTTACATCCATTTATCTTTTTCTATTCATCTATGTACTTATTTGTTTCCTTTATTTCTTTATTTATTCAATTAGTGCACCTCCTTTATCTTTTTATTTAGTTATTTACATATTTAGTTTTTTATTCATTCACCTATCAATTTTTTACTTATAACCCCACTTTTACTTCTACAGTTATTTAGTTATTAAGTTCTTTGTTTTGTCATTTTCTTTCATTTCTTCCCTTCCTTTACCTATCTATTCATCCCTCTATTCGCCTTCTCTCCTTTCCATTCCCATACATACTTCCATTTTATGTTCATTATTTCCCTTCTCTTCTTCATTCATATATTCAAACCACACAAAAAAAACACCACGCAGAAATGAAAAAAATGTATGTATTGCATTCGGCACATGTGAGATACGGCGTATAAATCAACTGCCGCACCATTGCCGTATCTTATTCAACTGTTTCAGTCGCATGCAGATTCGACTAAGGTTGTATATTCAATACTGTCGAATTTAATTGATTTATACGCCACATCTCACGTGCATTTAATTTGTAAATTTTATTCGGCATATGTGAAGTTCTGCGTATAGCGCGGTCCTTAGCCTCAATTGTTTGCAAAATATTCAGAAATTTACTAATATTATAAAACTCGTGAAATTTCAAACTATTTCCATTGTCTTCTATACTCACAGATATCTTGAATTTGAACGGACTCTTAGGAAATAAACAACTTGATTACATGGCTTTGAGGCTAACACAGCGTGAAAGAGATCGCAAATGTTCGAGTGAAAATCAGTATTATTAAAGCCTTACCTGTCTCGTTTTCACGTTTTTGGTACATTTCTCAAATGCTTGTAACTCTTTTCATTTCAAATTAAACTAGTTTGGTTTTATGTCCTCATTTCAAGTTTGCTGCTCGTTTTTCATATGGTCAATTGCAATGATTAATCCTTACAAAAGTTGCAGTATTTATTACTGTCTAAGTTTGAATGCATTTTACTGAGTTTTCCACCTTTTATTGAATTTTTCCTTTTTTCTCTATGAGGGATAAGCCGACAAGTGATGAGCTTGGGCTACCTGTGGCTGACTCCATCATTTTTCATCAGACAAATGTCGCCATATTTTGACAATAGTTTTGAGCTATTTGACATTAGCTGATGGTTGTTCAGAGGCTACGGTCAAGACGATGGCCTTTCAAAGTGAATGAAATAAATGTTTTGCACGCGCGAACTTAACGGAAAGTGAAGATTAGAACGCGAAAGAATGTATACAAATGTAGCCAAGGCTGCTATGATGTTGAAAATGTATATTGTGAATCCGAGCTTTCGCTCTACTACAGCATCATCAGGGAATAACAAGAAGAAGAATATCCTTGACTAATAAGAGCTGGGCGATCAGGCGTTACGGTGAACGACATGCAAGTCCAAGTACATCGGCAGCACGATAAGACATCTTCATGACAGAGTCAAAGAACACCTAACATCATCCAAATCCTCAGTCGCATCGCATTTAAAGTCTTGCTCGAGCACCACGTAAATCAAGACACGCGTAATCGCACGCGACAGAGACCCCGTCAATTTACGCCTTTTAGAGGCATTGTTCATCAAGTCACTCAAGCCCACTATAAACTCACGCGAGGAATGCCGAGAATTGCAAGACTTGTTATTTTNTCTAAAAGGCGTAAATTGACGGGGTCTCTGTCGCGTGCGATTACGCGTGTCTTGATTTACGTGGTGCTCGAGCAAGACTTTAAATGCGATGCGACTGAGGATTTGGATGATGTTAGGTGTTCTTTGACTCTGTCATGAAGATGTCTTATCGTGCTGCCGATGTACTTGGACTTGCATGTCGTTCACCGTAACGCCTGATCGCCCAGCTCTTATTAGTCAAGGATATTCTTCTTCTTGTTATTCCCTGATGATGCTGTAGTAGAGCGAAAGCTCGGATTCACAATATACATTTTCAACATCATAGCAGCCTTGGCTACATTTGTATACATTCTTTTTCTGATCACAATCATGCTGCTAAAGGATACCTTCACTCGTCTAGAACGCGAAAGATTACAAGATTCTATGAGTCCCGTGTAGATTAAAGGAATCTGGATTCTGTCATTTCCTGATTTCGTGTCTAAGTGAAAGTCTCCCCTTTGCACCGCCATAACGTTATTAAAGTCAAAGTTGTTGCAATTTTGGATGACGTCTGGTTTCGACAAAAAGCTCCTCTGTATTCTTTGATTCTAGTCCGCAGGAATGCTATCCATCTGGCGGTAATATACAAAGTTGCAGTTTTTGCAACTTTTTTATACACTAATCCAATGGCAAGCGCTGGGGCAAGGGACTAGTGTCAAAATTACATGTTTTGAACTATTACTAATTAGTAATGTTCTATTCCTATTTTCATACGGAAAACCATGAGCGAAGGTATAGACAAACGAGCTAAACTCAGCATCAGCATCAAGCGGGTTTTTTTCTTCTTCTTCTTCTTGCGGTTATTATTCTCACGAAAGATTAAAAAGTTTAGTACGTATTGAGGCGTTATTGATCTCAGTAATCAGGTCTTTCTGCGAGTCTGCCATTAAACATTTTCAGCTTTTTATTGAAAATCTCACAAAGTTTACATTGCATAATGGTCAACAAAAAAGTTGGTTTGTGCGTCAATGCATCAGTGAAAACTACCATTTTTCTAGATTGTTCCGTCTTATTCTCCTTGGAATATGATTATTTTAAATCTTACTATGACTACCAAAAGCGGTATCAAAATTGACCTAATTAATTCAAATATAACATTTTGCAGCATCGAGCCTTGCTACTCATTTCAATCCCCTTGTGATTTTCTGTTCTCACTGACAGTCAAATCTATATTTGGTACTATAATTTATCTAAACTATAAAGAAAACCGTTTGGATAAAAAAATCCAGTTTTATTTTTGTTAAGGTAGCACACGTTTGCTGACCTTTGCTGACTCAATTCAGGTCTGGTTTTTAATCCCTGYAAATGGACGAGTGCCCCTGGGGTGATCAGAGTCACTCTGTGACATGGAAGGCGGGAAGACCTGGGAATAGGCTGTAAGGTACACACTTATTGTAAGAATCCTTAAGATCAAGGGTTAGTGTTATTGGTGATTTGTATTTACGAACGCGCCTCGTTTTCAATATGAAGCACCAAATTAGTAACGATCTCAGAGCTGGAAACTATATTGCATCAACGAATGTTTTAAAGTCTTGTACTTACCTATTTCCAAAAACGTTGTCGGCGAAAACGGCACTATGTCAACTGTCAAACGGAGATTGCTCGTGGTGAAAGTGGCCATGGGTATTGTTAATCAAATGGAAATAACAACTGGTTTATAATATATTGTATATTAGCATAGTCTCAGGTAAATATTGGCTCCATTTAGACTCCATTTCTATGCAAGGTGAATCCAAAAAGTGAAATTTTCATATCAAACAATTGCTAACATTCGCGCGGGCTACCTGTGTCTTTTGTGGGATTCCTTATTTTCAAGAATGGGAGGGGACTAGGACAAAATTATAATGCCGACATGTTGAAAAGCGATTTCTCTGCAAATTCTGTAAGTTTTAGCCATTTTAAAGCACTAAAAGGTGGAAAAAAACTTGAAAAAAACTTTCTATCGTACTTCCTTATAAGGTAAGATTNACTCAGTCAATAAGTACATAATATCTAATCTGCAGAATAGTGCTTTTCAGGTGAAATCTCCAAAAGCTGACTATGTTGTGGCTACTATTCGTTCAGTCGCACCAAGAGACCATAAAAATGCACTGCTCCACGCTCTWCAGTTGACCACTCGATTTCCTGGTTACTAAACTTAGGRTCAATTTCTTCTTCTGAACCAACGGTTTGAGGACCTACATTATAACTTTCAGGTCTGATCCACAGTTGGAATGCTACCTTTACTTTGTACGTTTTCTTCGTCTCTGGGTGTAAAAATCTATTTAAATGTTTATTAGGAAGAGTTATTGCCCGTATATACCAATACTTTTAAAATTGAATAGTTTTGCGTATTTGGCATGTGCTTTTGCACGTTCACGAAAACAATCCTCGTTAAGGACCGATTTTCAAAGAGTATTTGAAGAGCAACTCTGGCTGACTCCTTGAAATCGTAAGAAGGAACTGCTTTCTAAAATATCAGGATTTATTATATGACTTAGATAGTACGCGCGCTCTCATTGGCCGAAAACTGGTCCGTGAAATTGCGTATCCAGACCGCGGGTCCGTCTTTTTCCGTATCCGGACCGGAAATTGCTAATTTGATGGTCGTGCAGTAGGTTGGATCGAGGGAATCAAGACAACTTTGTTTATCAGATTTGAGACTATCTTTGCAATAAAAAAATTAAAGCAAAATCCATTTTTTTTAAATGATCTGAAAGAAAAGATGGTTCAATCTCAACTACTCCCGCCTTTTTGTCCGCGTAATAATAGATGTATTTGTGTATGAAAATAAACTGAATCTATGAAACAAGGAGCCAAAATCCCCGTCTTTTTAGCCGACAATTACTGAAAAWRYGATGATTTCTTTGTCATTTTACTCATATCGTGAGATATTTGAGAAAAGCGTTGCCATCAGATAGAGGGAGGCAACGTGTTGCAAGTTGACCAGTGAGACTTTTCCTACCCTGGGAACCAGAGGCAGGATTTACTCGTTCTTGTACTTTATTTACGGCGCGAAGCGCCGTCGGCCTCAAGGACGGCGCTTCGCGCCGTAAATAAAGTACAAGAACGAGTAAATCCTGCCTCTGGTTCCCAGGGTAGACTTTTCCTATATACTTTGAGTAATTCTTCTACATAATCTACGATGTAAAAGTCATATAATAAACGAGTTATTAACCTCGCTTGCTCGATCTGTACGGGAAAATATCAGACCTCGGTCTTTTACGTACGGACCTCGCTGCGCTCTGTCCGTATACTGTCAAGATCTCGGTCTAATATTTTCCCGTACAGGCCTCGCGCTCGGTTAATAACCTCTTAATAATCATCGGGATGTTGGTCTCAACACTTCTATGGATATACTAGTATAACAATCAAATTCGTTTGTGAGATGCATTCCAGAAGACAATCGTTCACAAAATGGTCTTGAAATCAAATAAACATCTATAGGTCGTGTATCCACTGTCATATAAAAAATTGTACATGTCATGGTTTAACAGAAATTTACACGTCATCTGACGAATAAAAATACTCACGTTTGTGTCTTGGCATAAACTTCAAGTTCTGAATATCGAATGCTTGGCGAAACAAAAACCTGCTTGGTATTGAATCCCTCGGGCTTCCTGTCATCGTGGAAATGACCATCGACCTCTGAAAGCCTCTTTCCTCCCAACGCAGTGTCGCCTATCAATGGAATAGCGCGGAATTGACTTGAATTGAAGGTTGCCCAAAAACATATAGAAAATTACATAGGGACGCGGAGATACGAATATCATAATCCTTAGTGTTAAAAAGGTCTCTCACGAGTGAGCGTAGCTGTTTATCATATATTATATTATAGCTCAATTCTGACACGCTTAAAGCTGTCGTTTATTTAAAAAKCATCTAYGAAAGCCAATTCTRTCGTTAAATAACTTTTATTTCTTTCCAGTGTATAAAACTCGAACTTTTCGAAGCATGATGGAKTTTTGYGTGCGTTTGCGTCAGATTCTCGTTCTTTGAAGTATACCAAGTCAAAATTATCGTAATGGTTTCGATCTTTCCTTTTACATTTTGCCCCAAACGTTTGTACAAATGCACTAATTGCTATGATTTGCTACATGATACCATACCTGCATAAAATTTTATTGATATATAATGATATTGATTGAAGACTGATCAACCGTGATTCTTTTCTTAATTCGTACAATTTTAATTAAAATTTAATTAAAATGAATACCACTCGTGCAAAGCAATTAATTTGCGAATGATCTACACACGACATCTTTTCGCTATCATGACATGCGCACTTGTGGTATTTAATTCTCATTTTCATCAAATACGCGCGGTATTTTTCATAAATTCTTCAAGAACAAAGGTGGTATTACCTCCTCTAGACACTGCTCGAGAATATATTGTTGTCATACACTGGTCACATTAAAAGCCATTTTTTCTGACAAATGAACAATGTGGCGATATTTTGTATTTTATTCTTACACTTATATTTACACAATTATACCGCAATTTGCACTCAACCGCTATACGTTTCTTTGTTGCAAAAGTAGAGTTACCGTGATGTGATGAAAATACAAAGGTAGCAGGAGCCGCTAAAGGATAACTTTCAACGTTAAGTAGAGTTACCCTTGTTTATTAAGATTATTGTGCTCTTTATGTTTTGAAGAATGGGGAACTTTGATTTTTGGGTCAATACCGTAGATATTGTCATAGTACTTTATTGATCGGTACTGAATTGTCCATGTGTTGTTTATAGAACGAGAATGCGTGTTTTAACGGGATATATAGATTCGAGCCGCAAGCGAACTCCAACATTCAGAAATTGTTATCATTTTAGAAAAAAGGTAAAATATACGAAAACAGTGTTAATGCATATTGAACTTCTAATGAGAATGTGTATTGTGGCATAATAGAAAGAATTTTGATCCCACACGACAGAGCGGCTAGTCATTGATTCAAACTGATTTAAAACCTAGCAAAGGTCTATGATGCGACATTAAAACTGAGACCTTTGCTAGTGTTGGATTGCGATAA